GGATAAAAGTGCAACAGTGTGCAAGCATTGTGCAACACGTTTTGTTTATGCTAACAGCAACATAACCAACATGTCAGGCTAACCCCGAAATCCCACATACTCCGTCAGCGCTCCACTGCGCTGCACAAAGCAAAGCCTACAGCCTCCGCTTTGGCTCCCGTCCGCTTCGCTCTGAGTTTCTTGGAGATCGTAGAGGCCATGCGAGAGATGATTAAATTCAAAGCAGCAAAACATGCGGAAATGAACCATGGTTTCTGCGGATCATTAAAAATAATTACAATTAATTAATTTTGGGGGATTTTTTCATTAATTTTATTAATTTTTATTTTTTCATTAATTTATATAATTTTTTTTTTTTGGTGTAACAATAAACATATACCGAACCAAACCAAAAACCGTGACCACGAAACCGTGAACCGAACCGAACCGTGGATTTTGTGAACCGTTCCACCCCTAATATATATATATGTATATATATGTATATACATATATATATGTATGTTATGTGCTGTATAACATCGTAAATGATAATCCAATGAAAGTGATCTGTTGATTTCTAAGAATGGAAGTCTGAGCTGGTAGCATGATATCAACAAAGGAAGAAGTCCCTTTACTTTCTATTTCAGGATTGCAGGGATTTTGGATTTGGTGTTTAGATACTCTGCACATGAAAATACACTGACATTGATACTATGTTCTAAAAAGGCTTAGATATATCAAGCCAGTAGTTTCTTGCGATCATGTTGGGATAGTCCTAAAAATGGTTTGTTAAATTTGCACCTAAAATATTGCAATAAACTTTCACTTTTCTTTTAGGGATATGGAGATTGGGTAAGTCTAACACAAGTTCCTGTTTTCACAATCTCCATATCCACGCGATATGGAGATTGGGTAAGTCTAACACTTGTTTTTGTGATTTAAGTTTGCTCATTATTTATTATATTTTGAACATTCTTTTCACAAAACAGGAACATGGACTTGATATTTTCCTTTCCTGGAGGGGAGAGTTGCAGGGGATTTTTTACGGTGTCATTGCTAGTAGAAATGGCTGCCAGTACAGGCATAAAGGTCAGTGTTTTTCTGTCTGACTTACCTTTTTTCCTATAGCTCTTGAAACCTTAGACAACGCATCCATCATTGAAGTCAGATATTTCAATACACTGTATAAAATTGAGGTTTCATTTTTTTCTCCTATAACTGACATTAAACCAGATTAAACGTATTCTTCTGTATATTAATTACTGTTGGATGAGCAAAAATATTTCCATTTGGTAAAAGTGAAAATGTTAAGACAATGTTTTGGAGACTTTTTATATTCAGAACTTTAGATATATTTCATCACTAAAGCATTGGTAACATATAATTTAAAGCTATATCGGTGATCAAACTTTTAGAGATTCCTTCCATTATCCTTTCACAATGTTTTATTATAATTCTGTTCCCTTACCTTGACAGAACCGATATAACTTAGTCAGGTTGAGAGACCTTTTATTGTTCTCACACAGATTTTTTGCCTTGCCTACATGTAGTCCCCTTATAATTGAGTCATATCTTTTTGTTTGTCAAACCTCCGCTTCAGTGAACACTAAGTTCAAAGTGTATTCCAAGTGCTATCTCATCTTACCTCTCTTGATAAAAAATAAAAAAATAAATAATTGTGCTTTTTAAACCTGGATCTTGGACTTTTCTTTATTATTTTCACAACTTTGCTGGCAGGTGCTAACTTGCTTAGCCCCATTACATTGTTGCTTACCTATCACATTCACGTGCAAGATTGTACATTCAGTCAGGTTGTGTTGTAACTTTTAATATCTATAGACAGGCTTGACTTTAATAGAAAACAAGTAAAAGCAAAGTGTAAAACATAAAAATAACAAATTATAGGTCAGCAAGATGTTGTTGCTTTATTACAAGATGTTGTATGCAACCAGAGTGAGCTACTTTACTGGCATATACATTTGAAAAGTCATATAATGAGACTATGCCCCTTTAAGCCACATTAACTAAGTAATTTTCCAGCATGCTTGGGGCTTGCTGTCTCTTTAGAAGAGCAATTTCCTGTCCAAGGTTTACATTTTGTTAAACATCTTGAGATGTTGATTTGGCATGTCAACATGCTGTTCATTCCTTCTAATGTAAACTTAAATGTTCCAGTTCCATTTGCAGCAAACATTCATACATTATAATGCAGATAACCACACTTTAATATATGCATGATGTTCCAATGCTTGCATGCTTCCCCTTTTTCTCTCTCAATGTAGAGTCAGATCTGCTGACAATAAACTTCAAATTTAGTTTTCATCGGATCATAGAACATGTCTCCATAAATAAAGTTAATTTGGGTTTTCATTTTACTTTAGGAGCTGCTTCTTCATAACCAAATCTCATTCACTTGCTTCACTGTAGATGATGACTCCTGTTCACTTTAACCAGCTTTTATTTATTTTTATTTATTCGCGGTCAACTTGAATGTTCTGATATTTTTTTTTTCATTTCTTTTTTTTTTTTTTTCTTCATGGTGTCATAAAAGTTAATAGTATGTTTATCTTTAAAATCCCAATTGATCTAAGGGGTATACATTTTGTATGCTTGATTCCCAGCCAAAAAAACACATGGTTGTATTTTTGTATATGTGTATGCAAAATCTGCTTTCTATTTTCTTGTTTTATTTACTTGTTTTCTAGAATTGCATCGCTTCTCTCATATAACTCAGCAGTTGATTTTCTAATCTTTCAACTTCAACCAGGGGGCCCTGGAGGTAATGCACGCCATGAAAATATCAGACCTAATCGGCATACAGAAAGGACTAAACAAAGTAACACAGTCTTTGAAGAAGATGAAGGAAACCTTTCAACTCATGCACAGTAATTTCCAGTTGAAGCTACCGCAATATGAATTTAATAATTTAAATTGCCTTGCCTTTTAAGAAGGTAGCAAAATTGAGGCTAATTAAAATAACCTGCTTTGTGCTCGATGCAGATCACGTGGAGCCAAACGCATTTCATGGAACTTTGAGAATTTTTGTCTCAGGGTGAGTTATGTAGCTGTTCTAGTGTCCCAAATATTCATGTTATAATTATTTAATTTAAATTTTTTCCTCATTTAGTACCCATTCCATTATTACCCTTTAATTCAGTCCAGCTGATGTGCCTGTCTTTTACTTCACTATATCTTTTAATAAAAAAACACCCTAATGCCATGACAAATAAGCTGGATCTTGACCATACTTAAAAAATCTTTAATACTTTTTAGGTGGAGAGATAACCCAATGCTTCCCCGAGGTCTGCTGTACGAAGGTGTTAGCAATGAGCCGATTTTGCTGTCAGGTGGAAGTGCAGCTCAGAGCTCAGCCATTCAGTGCTTTGATGCTTTGCTATGCATTCAACATGAGGGTGAGACAGGTAAAGATGCATTTAAATCTACTTTAACCTGATTAGATGCTTTTCATTAATCTGTGAAGCCTGAATATCTCCCAGGTAAGGAATGTGTCCCGGAGAGGCTGTTATCTTTATTCTTTCTGTTTCCTCTGTGTTGTTTTCATTGATTGTCCTGTCTAGGAGCCTTCCTGACACGCATGAGAGATTACATGCCCCCTGCACACCGTCAGCTGATTGAAACTCTGTCTGTCTGTCCGTCGCTACGAGATTTCATTACGACCTGCTCCAGCTCTGACCTGTGCCAGGCCTACAACTCCTGTGTCTCTGCACTGGTGGATTTACGAAGCTATCACCTAAATACTGTGGCCAAGTATGTCATTGTACCTGGTAACCATGCCAGATCCATGGGCTGCCCTCTCAGAGGGGTAGGTACTGCCCTCAACAGCACTGGAACTGGTGGCTCTAATCTCATGGTCTTCCTCAAGAGTGTTCGTAACACCACCCAAAGAGCACTGATCTTAGAAAGACCAAAACATCAAGAGAAACATGAATGGAATGCTGCAAAATAAAATATAGACAATAAAAAACTATTTTTATAAATTGTATTTATGAAGAAAATTATCAAAAATATATATTTGCAAGTATCTGCAGGAATTTTCAAATGTGACAGTTATATTTGTCAATTCTTGCCTCAGTGAACTCTTCATGCACTGCAATACAGATGGACGTTTGGAGCATCAGAGGTAACTGTTATAAATTTCAAGAAGAGGAACTAAACAGCTGAACTTCTCATTTAGCAACTGTAAGCTTGAAAAACAGCATCAACGTCATCCCAGTGGTATGACCACATTAAAACAGAGCATTTTTTTATTGCTTGCGCTTAACTTGGGCTGTTATTTTCTCAAAGCTTATCCTTTGCAATGTACTTAATATAAACCTTAGAGAGCCTCATGAATTAAATTCTGATTTGAAAGCAGATTAATTAATTCTTAATAAACAGCCTTCTAATTTGTTGTCACTTGAACATATTTATGATCAAGTGCTGTGACAGCACAGACATTTAGGCAGTAAATGTTTTCTATTGTGACTTTTTTCTAATTTGATTATTTAAAAAAATCTTTGAGACTCTGGTTTCTAGCCTTGATCAGATTTTTTAAAATTATGTTTATGCATTTAGCAGGCGCTTTTTTTTCAAAGTGACTTACAAAGTAGACACAATGTTACAGTTAACATCAATATGACAATAGGTTCTCTAGAGGAAAATCTCTAGTGGAAATCAGTGGTGAAAATCATGACATTTTATATGCAGAGGCTTTCAAAATTTTAAAATCCTGTGATATACATCTTGCAAAATTCAGTGCCATAGTTCCATCTGAAGAAAAGTAAACCATCGGCATGATGCTGCTAAAATAGGTCCTCGGTTGTGCTGTGTTTATTCTTTGCCCAGGATACCTTTAGGACAGAGTCCAAAAATCTCTTTTCTTTTTGGATAATAACACAATCTTCCACTACATTAGCAGGGGTTCGGAAAGCCTTGATGATTTCCTCAGAAGAAAGACATTTTGATTTGCAATCCTTACTCCAGACAGAGATGAAAATACAACAAACTGTTCTTGCAAAAACAAAAGATCTTTCACAGTTTTCATCACCTCTTGAACTGTTGCTTTTGGCCTCCTTGCATCCTCCCTTGTCACACATTAGCGCTTTATTTTAATAGACAGGGAGATTTGGTCAGCTTGTGTAAGTTCCCTAATTTGTTATGGTATTGGTTAATAAAATGTAGATATAATGCTGTGAATTTTTATGCAATCTGTCTTTGACTGATACCTTTGTACAGTATTTTGAGTCTTAGTAACCTTTCAAAATATGACTTTAGCTAAAATCCTAACAGAAAGCTGTTTTACCACAGTTATACTTTATTTAATTTTAAACAGATCATACATAATTAATTCAGAAAAAGTACTCTTCCCACCCATTTGGTTATTGCTGCCTTTTATTTTTTAAATGTTGTCCTCTAATAAATGTGTTTTTCACTGGAAGTGCGCAGAATAATTGTCACATTAAAATGGTTGCTGTTGAATTTTTTGAAGAATATTTGCAAATATTTAACATCATTACTAATACTTGCATTACTTGTGGTATAATATTCGCAAGAGCTTGTTGAGAAAGGATTAAATCTTCTGAATTGTGGAGGTTAAGTAATTATTACAAGCTGGTAATACTCATGTATCAATCTGTCTTTTCAGCTGATTTAACTCATCAGGTATTCAGTAGTGCTGGGATAATTTTTAAACAAAGATCAGACCTGGGATGCAGATGATGTAAATAAAGACTCTGACTTATTTACTTTTCCAACAAGTTCAGGGTTGCATTAAATCTTTCTACAATAGATAAAGGAACTAAAACCCATGATAGCTTCCTAAAACCTTATGAACTAGTTAAACTACTAAACTAACTTTTCAAGGCAGAAGTTTCAATTATTAAATTCTAATGTTTTTACTCCACATAAAACAAGCATTAGAACAAGGGTATGCACAAGTTTGATACCTGATAACCAGTGTTGGGCAAGCTACTTGTTCATTGTAGTGAGCTAAGCTATCAGTTACTCAACAATAAA